TTCCCTCAGCAAGCCATCACCGACGCTGACCCCACGCCACGCTTCGAGGACGACCCGGTGACCAGGACACTGCCCCAGGCTCACAGTGGGGTGGGGGAGGGTGGGCTGGTGGTAGGTGCGGGGATAGAGGTTCACACAGGGGATTATGGGAGCACGGAGAAGGCGCCGAGGTTGACCAGGGTGGGCACCGGGGGGGAGGCGGGGAGGCGGGTGAAGGGGTGTTCCAGCAGAGGGAAGCCCAGCCCAGGCCTGGGGTGAGACCAGCACAGCTTGGGCATCTGCAGCAGGAGATGAGACCCAGGGGTGGGCAGGAAGGGGCTGGATCAGGGGCCCTGTAGCTGTCTGGCAGCTTGGGCTCGAGCCTGAGGACACAGAGAGTTAATGAAGAGTGTCCAGCAGGGAGCCTGGGTCTGTCCATTCTTCAGGAGGGTCACTGGGTCCTGTGAGGGGCCAGTCTGGCGGGCAGAGGCCAGGAGGACGCCCCCAAGTTTCCAGCACCTACTCCCACGACACCTCATCTGGCCACCCGTCACAGATCTCTGCTAAAATGCGGGTTCTTGGCACACACACACACCCCAGCAGGTCCTGGTTGAGTGTCTCTGAGAGGGGCCCCGGAATCTGTATTTTTTATCCTCACCGCAAAGGATGACAACAGAGCTGCTTGACAGCCAGCCCTTGGAACAACGTTCCCAGGGGCAGGGAGGTGGGTGAACTGGGCCACGTGGGGAGGTGGGGAAGGGGTTAACTGTTCACTGGGGGGCTGGCTCTGGCCTGGCCTGGACTTCTGGGGGAGCCCCTGCTGCCTCCCCAGCCGTGGGAGCAGAGGGTGGGGCTGCTAGACCAAAGTGAGGGGCCGTCGAGACTTGGACTCCCCCACAAAGGCTGTCAAGGGCTATTTCCTGTCCACCGTCCAGCACCTTCCTCAGCAAAGCACATGTGGCGCCACTTGCAGATGAGGTTACAGCATGCAGGACACATCCAAGCACAGCCGGGGCTCCCAATTCCCTCTGTCCCAAAGAAACAGCAAGAACCAACATCCACCCAGAGCTGCCCCTGGGCCAGGGCCTGCCGCCCACACTGCCCGCCCGTGACCCCAAGAGGTGGGACTGCCATCTGGTCCCCACTCTGCAGATGAAAATCTGGGGAACCCAGCATCCCTGCCAGAGGAGAGCGAAGCGTGGGAGGGGGATATTCAGGCTCCAGTTCTGGCCCTCACAGTGCCCGCCCCTTTGTCCAGGAACTTCCGGGTGTCTCATTCCCGCTGTTAGGATAGGGCCTCGGGCCCCAGGCCTTGGGCACTTTGAGATGCGAGTCAGCACGCACTTATGCAGCCTGGCCACCTTCCGTGTGCACGTGTGGGGCACCAGGCAGTCTGCCAAGTGCTTGCTGTGCATCGTTTTGAAGAAAAAACAAATGCATCTTCACGTCACGTAGGTCTGCTTAGTCTCATTTTGCAGACAGGGAAACTGAGGCTCAGAAAATTAAGTCTTTTGTCCAAGTTTCTGCAGAGTCAGGATTTGAACTCTGGGCTGAGTCCCTAGCCTGGGCTCTCGACCCCTGGGGCACCCTCTGCTTCCAGCTCTCAGGCTGCCTCTGCTCCTCTTGCATTAGATGCCCCCGCAGTGGGTCTCTAAGCTGGGCACTGGCCCAGCCAGCCTCCCCCACGGTCTCGTGCCCCCCACCCTCCTCTGTCCGGGTCTGACGTAGCCTGACCCCAACTCCGCCCTACACAGACCCCCCAGCAGCTCCCCAGGCCCCCAGGAGGAAGCCTGAACTCCTCACAGGGCCAGCAAGGCCCCTCCAGGTCTGCCTAGCCCTCCAGCCTCCTCGCCTGGAGGGTCCGCTTCCCGCCTCCCTCCTAAGCACCCCTCCTGGGCACACACTGCTCGCTCGAGACACTCCCCGCCCCCGCTCAGGCTGCAGCGTCAGCTCATCTCAGACCTCGGCAGCACAGACCCTATCCCGGGAAGCCCCCGACCCCTGCACAGGGCTCTCCCTCTGGCCCACTCTCAGCACTCCAGAACTCCCGTGGGCTCTGAGCACGGGGCCCCCGGGCCCCCCAGCGGCCGCCGAGAGAATGAAGAGGTGTGTGTCTGAGCTGGCGGACCAGCGGACACCGGGGGGAGGCCCCCGGTCACCTGGATCTCCATGCGGTCCTGGGTGGGGCCCTGGATGCGGATCTCTTCCAGGCGGGGCAGCCGGTCCCCAGTCAGGGTCACTTTGTACTGGATGTGGCTGTCCTCCAGGAGAGAGGGGTAGGTGGTGCTGGGAGAGATGCTTGCATTTCCGGCCACAATGTAGCGCCCACGGATCCTCACTGCTGTTGGGGGAGGGGCCGTCAGCACCACAGAGACACCCCCCCCTCCCACCGTGGGAGCCGGCACCGCCCCCCTCACAGACAGGTCCTGTTTAAGGAGAGGTGACAACTGGGCCAACGGGGCATGACTTCCATGGCCGCACCTGCCACTCCCGCCCCAGGATCCCCAGCCTTCCCGGGGAGCAGGTCCTCCTGGTATCCCACACTCTGAACAGGGTGTCTGACCACGGGAGGCTCCCCACGCGGCGACTCTGTGCCTCTTCCTGGAACCTGGTGAGCGCTGTGGACCTGCTCCCTCACCAGGTGCACTCAAACCCCACTCTACGGGGGCTCAAGGACCCCAGGGTGAGCACCCCACCCCAGATTCAAAGGTCAGGCCAGGGCGCCCCCTAGAAATAAAGACCCACAGCGGCGTTAAGTAAAGAGGTCAGCCTTGCCCAGAGACAGGTCTGACCTGGCGCCCTGTGTCTGACCTGATCCGGAGCGTCTTTGTTTAGGGTAGGAGCTGGCCACACCAGAAAGACCAAACACATGACTTAGGGTGGTGGCCTTGAGTCACCAAGCCTCAGCCAACCTGAGGACTGAGGTCGTCCAGGGGGCGATCAATCCATCCCCCAATTGTGTCTACATAATGAAGCCCCATAGCACCTGGACCCTGAACTCAGGAGAGCTCCCAGGGTAGGCAGTACACCGCGTGTGTGGTCACTTTCGAGCTGGACACGGAGCCCTCCCTGACGCTGCCCTAGGCATCTCTTCCTTTGGCTGGTTTTATTTTGTATCCTTCCCCTGTAATAAGCCGTAACGGTGAGCGTGACAGCTCTCAGAGTTCTGGGAGTCCTCCCAGTGAATCATCCAACGGACGGCAGCTTGGGGAGCACCCGAACTTGCAGGTGGCATCAGAAGTGACGGCACCTTGGGGCTGTGCCTTCGACCTTCACAGTCTGGCTAACTCCTGTGGGCGTCCTCTGGCCGACTCACCCAGGTGCGTGAAGAGAGGCCTGTGGTTGATGATGTATATGCTGGTCAGGTTGGGGGTAACGGTCAGGAATGTGACATACTCTAGGAGGAAGCGGGGGGGGGGTGGTGGTGAGGGGTGGTCTCAGGTCACTTAGGTCACTGTCAAAGGGAGCAGGTTGCAGCGCCAGAGGGAGGTGGGACTCAACTCCTCGACTGACTTTGCAGAAGACCTGACCTGTTCTATAAATAGATCAAAGTCAAGGATTTTCCAAGCATAACATCCCTCCTGCTAAGAGTCCTTGAGCAGAAGAGGAGAGGACAGCCTACCACAGATTTCCCAATGTCTGTATTTTTTCTGCACCACAGGTACACTGAGCAACCGTTACTGATGTGCCACAGTCCCAGCCGTGGCCTCATCACCAAAATCTGAGCCTCATGGGGAGGCTGGCTGAGAGGAACGTGGAGGCTGAGGCCGCTAAGAGGGCCCAGGGCTGAGCCAGAGTGCGGGCCCCGCCACCTAGGCAGCCGGCACCCAGGCTCTGGGCTGTGGGGTTTCTTGGAGGCTGGGGAGAAACCAGCCCTTCACCCCCAGGGAGGCCCCTACCTCTGGCTCTTCCGGCCGTGAAAGAGCCGTTCTGAGGACGGCACGTGCTGTTGTCCCCGCCACACACCTGGCACACATCTCGCACCTGCCCGGAGGCCATCCTGCCGTCACAGCCAAACGTCTGAGCAAAGGAGAGTGGCAGGTGAGACCCGGGTGATGTCATGGGACGGTGCTGGCCCACTGACACCCACAGCTCTGAGGTTCACACAACCAAATGGGGCATTTCTGCAGCTTCTGACATCTGTGCAGGAGGCAAGCTGAAATGACTTGTCCAAGGTCACAGCAAGGCTCTTGACCCCAAGCTCGGCCTTGTATCCCAGCACCACCCGGTGCAGAGTCTACTGCAGCTTCATGGGGGCAGCAGCCCCCAGGCCTGACCCCTCGAAGGCCCCTTAGCATCTTGGTTTATGATGGGAGAGGCCTCGGGGCCACAGTGGATGGGAGGGCACCTCCGCTGCCCGAGCACGCCTACCTTGCAGCTGCCCGACACGCACAGGCTCAGGGTCCCATCCTCCTGAGGGCTGCCTGGCACACACCGTGTCCCATCCAGGAAACTGTGCCCACGCCTCGCAATGAAGCTCTCGCCAATGGCCCGGCACAGATATCTACACAGAGCGTCCCCTGGGAAAGCAAAAGGACAAGAAACCCGGATGGGAGGGTGGCAGGCAGCAGGGAGGGCAGTGACCCTGTGAAACACGATCCAAGTGGGCCCTCACCGACCCCCAAGCGCCATCCCGCTTCACTCTTTGCATTTGGGGCAAGGTTTCTATTTCCCACCTGTCCTGCCTCCTGAGGCAGTAATCACATCGCGATGTAATAAATGTTACTGAATTACGAGCCAGGGAGCACGCTCGGTGCTTCCCTTGTGTCATCGCACTTGACTCCTGCCAGCAATCCTGGCAGCAAGCTACGCCTCTTATCTCCATTTTGCAGATGCGGAAACAGACTCAGGGATGAGAAGTCGCGGCCTGACCTGCTAGCCAGGGTGGGATGCGTGATACGTCTGATGCAGGGCCGAAGCCTGCTCTCAACAGCATCAGAGTGATGGTGGGTCTCCCCCAGTGACTCTCCCTGCCCCGGGGTCTCAGGCCTGGCTCGCCCCGGCAACCCCCGGGACCCACCTCGACTGTACTGCTCGGCCGTGCCCCAGCGGTAGAAGGAGGTGCTGCCCGGGGAGAGGCGCAGGGGCTCCCCGTTGGTCTGCGCGCACTGCTCCGACATGAACTCCAGCTGGGTCTTCTCGCAGGCCTGGTGGAAGGAGGCAGTGGACGGGCACGGGAGGGGCCGGGGCAGGGGGCCCAGGGCAGGGGGCTCAGGCAGGGAACCCTCGCCCCGGGAGACAGCAAGGCCCCCGGCAGTGCGAGGGCCAAGACGTGGGTTGGAGCCCAGCTCCTGGCTGCGCCTCAGTTCCCTGCTCTGTACAGTGGGGATGTCGAGCCTTCCTCTGCTGAGGGGGGCCTACCACCCAGCAATGCAGAGGAAAGCCGGGCAAACAGCACTGCGGGGGGGGAGGCCCCAACTTCAGAAAACGGGGGCTGAGTATGTGTATTCGCTATGTCTGCACCTGCCGAGGCAGGTAACTGGAAAAGTCACAGGAGTCAAGAGCAAAGGGCTTCCGCACAAGAACCTCCGCGGGCGGGCGTCCTGGCCTTTTTTGCACTGGAGTCAGAGGAAAAGAATCCGAGTGGCCCTGCCGAGCAGGTGCGGGGACCACGGCTGCCCTCCTCGCAGGCCTGGCCCTCCCCCACCACCAGGCAAGGACTGCTTTCTCCTGGTCTGGGGAGGCCTCAGAGTCTGCCTGGAGAAGGCGGGGGCGGGGGGGAGGGAGGGAGGGTCTCAACACGTGCAGATCTTGAGTCAAGGCCAGAGGAATTACTCCACGCCTTCACACCCACTCTGATGGCCGTGTGGGAAACACAGGTAAGTGCTGGAGAGGGTGTGGAGAAATTGGAACCCTCGCACTTTGCTGGTGGGGAGGCCAAATGGTTCAGCTGCTGTGGGAAATGGCTCAGAGGTTCCTCAAGGACTTAAACGTAGAATTACCATGGGATCTGGCAATTCCACTTTGAGGTGTACGCCCAAAAGAGTGAAAAGCTGGCACTCAAAAAGTCCACGGGGCTTCCCTGGTGGCGCAGTGGTTGAGAGTCTGCCTGCCGATGCAGGGGACACGGGTTCATGCCCCGGTCCGGGAAGATCCCACATGCCGCGGAGTGGCTGGGCCCGTGAGCCGTGGCCGCTGAGCCTGCGCGTCCAGAGCCTATGCTCCGCAACGGGAGAGGCCACGACAGTGAGAGGCCCGCGTACCGCAAAAAAAAGTCCACGTACGCACATATTCATTAGCAGCACTATTTCCAACAACCAAAGATGGAAACAGCCCCAATGTACGGACAAATGGACAGTGGATGAACAGATGAGCGAAACGTGGTCCATCCATCCAGTGGAATACTATTCAGCCACAAAAAGGAGTGAAGTTCTGGATGGGAGGGAGGTCCTAGAGGGAGGGGATATACGTATACATATGGTTGATTCACTTTGCTGTACAGCAGAAACTAACACAACATTGTAAAGCAACCATACCCCAACAAAAAAATAAGAAAATATAAGAAGAAAAGAATAGGGGCTTCCCTGGTGGCGCAGTGGTTAAGAATCCGCCTGCCGATGCAGGGGACATGGGTTCGAGCCCTGGTCCGAGAAGATCCCGCATGCCGCGGAGCAACTAAGCCCGTGCGCCACAACTACTGAGCCTGTGCTCTAGAGCCCGCGAGCCACAGCTGCTGAGCCCGTGTGCCACAACTACTGAAGCCCGCGCGCCTAGAGCCCGTGCTCCAAAACAAGAGAAGCCACCACAATGAGAAACCCACGCACCGCAACCAAGAGTAGCCCCTGCTCGCCGCAACTAGAGAAAGCCCGTGTGCAGCAATAAAGACCCAACGCACCCAAAAATAAATAAATAAAAAAAATAAATTTATAAAAAATAAATAAAAAAGAAGAAGAAACCGTAAAAAAAGACAAAAAGAAAAAGGAGTGAAGCTCTGATACATGGTACATGGCTGAACCTTGAAAACTACACGGTGAGTGAGAGAAGCCAGACGCAAAAAGTCACATATTGTATGATTCCACTTATATGAAATGTCCAGCGTAGGTAAATCCACAGAGGTAGAAAGTAGACTGGTGGTTGGCAGGGGCTGGGGAGAGGGGGCATGGGAGTGACTGCTTAATGGGCATGGGGTTTTACTTTGGGGTGATGGAAATGGTTTGGAACTAGATGGAGGTGGTGGTTGCGTGATATCGTGAATGTACTACATGCTACTGAACTACACAATTTCAAATGGTTGATTTTATGCTAGGTGAAATTCACCTGAACTTATAACTAAAAGGATCGCCCATGCTCTCGCGGTAGTGGACTTGGCTGCCGGGGAGGAGGGTTGTTCTCAGGGCAGAAACGGGCAGCCCTGCAAGGCAGTGGCATCCAGGGAGGGAGGGGGACACTTCAGGGCGGCTGCTTTCAGTGGTGGGACCCTCCTGGTGAATGCACAGTGGTCCCAGGGCAGGTATTAATAGCACCACCTTCACTCTCAAAACGCCCTATGTGAACCACAAATTACAGCCGCCCTGGCCCTTGGGCTCCTCCGGACCCACTACTGCCAACGGCACTCCCTCACCCTGCCCGGGGAAGCAGGCCTACCTGGCTGTTGCACATCTTGGCCTGGAGGTCAGCACCTACGCACGCATGCCCCCCAAAGGCAGGTCTGAAAATGCCCACGAGACATGGGTGAGAGGAGAGGTGACCCCCAGCCCCCCGCTAGGGAATGCGGAGCAGCCACCTCCCTGACGCACAGAACACAGCCCTCCATGCGGCACCTGGGGTTGTTGCACTGCCGTCTCCTGGTGACCACACCTCCTCCGCAGGAGCGGGAGCAAGGACTGGCCGGACCCCAGCTAGACCAGTGCCCATGCACCGCCCCCACGGGGGCCAGCTCCGCCAGGGAGCGGCAGTGCCCCTTGGAGCACCACTGCAAGAGAAGGACGGAACCACGTTCTACACCCAGAGCATCCCACACCCACAGGACCCCACACCCAGGGCATCCCACACACACAGGACCCCACACCCAGGGCATCCCACACACACAGGACCCCACACCCAGGGCATCCCACACCCGCAGGTACACCCCCCACAAACACATGCACACACACACACTGGACCCCCATCCTGCTTTGGAGCCAGTGCTAAATAGAAGAGGGCAGAGCCCCTCCAACAGGACAGGGACTGGAGGAAGGGCTGGCCATGCAAGGCAGAGGGGAGGGCAGGGGCACTGGGCCGGGAGCAGGACGTCAGGTGGCCGCTGCAGGCCGGCGGGGTGGGGGGGTGGTCACACAGTCACGGGAAAACTTTGCCTCCTCCTGGTGGCGGGCGACAACCCAATCCCGTTCTCCAGGCCGCCACACCGGGCCCGGGGTGGCTGTCCCTCAAGCGCCCGCTCTCTCTGGAACAGCGAGGAGGTTGACAGGGCAGGCCAGATGCCCCGTCCGCCCCGGCAGAGTCAGGCGCAAGCCTTCGCCATTAGCTGTTATGAACCGCCTGCAGAGGGCAAGGCAAGCACTGCCTGCACGCGGGCATCCTGCTGTCCACCTGTCCTGACCGGGACCCAGAACAGCTCCAGGGCCCTACGCCCCTGCTTACTGAGGTCCTCCTGTCTCCCACCCCAGGGTGAGGGCTGCAGGCCGCAGGTCTGCGTGAGCGTGTGTGAGCGTGCACACACACACACACACACACACACACACACGCTCACACGCTCCTTCAGTCCCCGCTCTGACCTTCCCCACGCCACACTCTGTCCCATCCAGGACAGGAATAAGGAGGCGGCTACAGCTGCTTTGGTCCAGGGGGTCTGTGTGGCAGGAGAGAGCCTGGCACATGTCCTAAGAGGGGAGACAGATGGCCAGCTGAGGGGCCACCAGGGCCTGGGGGTCAGCGTCCAGCCATCACTGCCCCTCCCAGACCACAGCACACGGTGACACAGCCAGCTCCCTGGGCAGTGGTGGGTGGAGAGGACAGCCGCGGAGGACTCCTCCACCAGGAACAGGGACAGTGACCAGGGCCCACAAATGTGTTCTCATCTCTTTTAAAATCAGAAGGAAAAAGACGATCTTTTAGATCAGAGAGAATATGCTAATATATTACATTAACACTGTATTTATAACAACACACGTAAAATTCTATTTCATGAAAACACTAAGATATAATTCCTAACGTTTTACAAGGGGGAAGGGGCTCACCAAGGTGAAAGTGCCTGCAAGTCCTGTGCGGTCCTGGGAAGGGGGTCTGCCTTTGGGGTGCCTGCCCCCCTTCAGCTCCCCTCCCAACTGCCAGCTCCCACCCCAGCTGTACGGTTCAGCTTGGAGGTCACTTCCTCTGGGAAGCCCTCCAGCTCCCATTGGGTGGGAAGCCCTCGGTAACTGCCTAGGTAGGATCAAGGTCCACGGGGGCTCGGGGGCCCTATCAGGACCAGCTCTACCTAATTTGTGGGGCCTCATCAAGAGGAAAATGTGGGCACTCTTGTTCAAAAATTGAGAATTTCGAGCGGCACCTGACAGTCTGGGCCAGTGGGGTCTCACAGTGCGCAGGGGGCAGGAGCGGGCAGAGGGAGGCCCAGAGGCGGAGGGGCGGGGGGTGCGCATCACCCACTGCTGGACTCACTAGGTGCTCCCTGCGGAAGGTGCAAGCGACCGCCGTCGGGCCAAAGGCGACGCGGCACTGCTCGTCGGCGCCGTAGTACAGGCCGGGGTGCGCCTCGGGAGGGCGCCCCGCGGGCTGGGACTGCGGCCCCGGCGGGTCCCACACGCAGCGCGCCCGTCCTGCGCTGCGACAAGGCCGCGGCTCAGGCCAGGGGCGGACAGCAGGTGGGCGCGGGACGGAGTAGGCGCGGGAAGCGGGGGCGTTTAAAGCGGCGGGTTCGGGTGGGCGAGGATGGGCGTTCTCAGCCCGTGTGTCCCACCAAGAGCTGACCCTGGGCTAGGACCAGGCTCGAGCCTAGGGGAGGGGAGGGGATGCAGGGGCAGATGCAGGGGGCGGGGGATGTTGTTGAAGTGGGTCTGCGAGGGGATGGAAGTGGACAGGGGAGAACCGCGGTGGGCACAGGGGCGGGAGGCGATGGAAAGGAGGGAGGTGGCGCGCGGGCGGGATGGGCGTGGCCAGAGGGATGGGCGGGC